AAGTATTTTGTAATTTATTCTTATCGTATATTAAGTAGGCTCTTTTACATGCAACCAATTTAATTTCATTTACAGGATCACTGCATGTTTCACTGTCTATAAGCATTAATTTCTGCAGTGAACCCATCTTTTTTAGGTGAAGGTCACTCCTAGGGGTGACCAGCGTTCCTTAGGTAACAGTGACAACATATCTTCACTGCTGTTTGCACTACACTCGAAATTCCTCATCTATATAACTATCTTCACTTAATTCTGTTCTGGTCTCTGTGACCATTATCATCACCCGGCACCACTGGGTTCCTTCTCTCTCACCATCTTTCCCTTCATCATTGTCACTACTACTCACCCCTCTCCTTCACCACCTTTCATACCTTCTCTACTCTTCACCGCTATCCCTTCGTCACTGTAATGATCTTCAGTATACACGGTCTTCACCAGTAAATAAAATACGTTAGACAAAGTATCCCTCCTACGCCTCTTTCCCCCCTCTTCCTTCTTTTCCATCTCTCCCCACATACTGCCCCTCATTCAACCCCCTCCCTCAGACCATGCAACCCCCTCCCTCAGACCATGCACCCTGCAAAGTTTTGTGAGAATAGCTCAAAATGTCTTAATTACCCCTACTCTACTCCCACCTCTCTCCCAGTGTACTCCCTCTCTTATCTCTCTTCCCTATCTTGCTCTCTCAGCCTTCACCTTCCCTACCGTTTATCACCTTAATTACCATTCACCAACTTCCCTACATTTAACACCCCCTAGCGCCGCCCCCCCCCCTACCCCCTAACCACCAAAGCTCCTCCCCCCGTATTGTTTTGTACACGGTACAGTTGTTTTGAACACGGTGCAGCTGTTTTGAACACCGTGCAGCTGTTTTGAACACGGTGCAGCTGTTTTGAACACGGTGCAGCTGTTTTGAACACGATGCAGCAGTTTTGAACACAGTGCAGCTGATTCACGAACAATTTATTGATGTATTTATTCGTCCAGAGATAACAAAATCATAATGCATTTGTGATTTGTTTAAAAATTGAAACATTTGTATTTAAAAGTCAGAGGCAATGCATGGCATGCGTCCACACATTCACTCTAATTCATTTCCAATATGGCTTGCTGTATCAATCGCTCGGTAGGGTATGCGGAATATTTTCCAAAATATGTTTTTATCCATAAAGGCACTTTGGCCACTACACTGATCTTTTATCATGTACTCAATGGAATCTTACATCAATAACGAGGACAATACTTGATTGATGGAAGATACATCAACAATGATTCGCGTATTTAGTGATTATTTATTCTAGTATTTTTTCTAGGCTAAGATCTCCTGCAAAAGCACTTTCAGGTAAAGTGCTAAAAAGTGTTTTAGTGCTGGCATTAAAACTATGTAGCCAATACCTGGCGAGGGAATCTGTTTACTGCTAGAAGAACAGAGGCCCCGGATCCGGAACAGAGGGCCCCGGATCCGGAACATAGGCCCTGGATCCGGAACATAGGCCCTGGATCCGGAACATAGGCCCTGGATCCGGAACATAGGCCCTGGATCCGGAACATAGGCCCTGGATCCGGATCAGAGGCCCCGGATCCGGAACATAGGCCCTGGATCCGGATCAGAGGCCCCGAATCCGGAACAGAGGGCCCCGGATCCGGAACAGAGGCCCAAGATCCGGAACAGAGGGCCCCGGATCCTTAACAGAGGCCCCGGATCCGGAACATAGGCCCTGGATCCGGATCAGAGGCCCCGGATCCGGAACATAGGCCCTGGATCCGGATCAGAGGCCCCGAATCCGGATCAGAGACCCCGGATCCGGAACAGAGGGCCCCGGATCCGGAACAGAGGCCCAAGATCCAGAACAGAGGCCCTGGATCCGTAACAGAGGCCCAAGATCCGGAACAGAGGCCCCGGATCCGGAACAGAGGGCCCCGGATCCTTAACAGAGGCCCCGGATCCGGAACATAGGCCCTGGATCCGGATCAGAGGCCCCGAATCCGGAACAGAGGGCCCCGGATCCGGAACAGAGGCCCAAGATCCGGAACAGAGGCCCCGGATCCGGAACAGAGGGCCCCCGATCCGGATCAGAGGCCCCGGATCCGGAACAGAGGTCCCGGATCCGGAAAAAAACGCACCCTAGACGTTTCTTCCCTCCTAGAATTCCATCTCCAGGAGACCTGAGAAGTTAAACAACCTCCATAACTACGTAGGTTTCTCACGTCAAAATGTGTGAGTGCTTCGTTGAACATTGAACTAAGGTGAACATTGCCATCGCTGACCTAAGGAGATAATCAATAACTGAGAAAATAATACGCTTCTCTAACAAACAACCATTATGACCACCACATAAAACTCTTACATGCTTTCCAGGAGTGTGTGTAAAAATTGTGCCGATAATGGCTTATGAATGCATGTAACAAGGTCATTCAAGGACTGGGTCACTGTTTTGTAAGGCGCTTGAGCAATGATTTCTCGAAATGATCTATGTGGCATTATTGAGACTAATGGTGCCAGATGGTGGTCAAGGGTGCAGAGTGGTGGTCATGGGTGCCAGTTGATGGTCATGGACGGTAGATCGACGGTCTCACTTCATGCAAGTCAGCGTTCAATCCCCGACAGTCTAAGTGGTTAAGCACCGTTCCTTTCCCCCTGTCCCATCCCAAATGTTTATCCTGATTTGATTGATTGATGAAGATTAAGCCACCCAAGAGGTGGCACGGGCATGAATAGCCCGTAAGTGGTGGCCCTTTCGAGCCATTACCAGTATCAAAAGATGATACTGGAGATCTGTGGAGGCGCAACTGCACCCTGCGTGACGGGAGATGTCTCCCGGACCAAGTGGTGACCAAATGGTGGTTTATCCTGACTCCTTCCAGGTGCTATATAGTAGTAATGGCCTGGTGCTTTATCCTGATAATTCCATTTCCATCCCATCCCTTATATAACCCGCCATCCCATCCCTTATATAACCTGCCATCCCATCCCTTATATAACCTGCCATCCCATCCCTTATATAACCTGCCATCCCATCCCTTATATAACCTGCCATCCCATCCCTTATATAACCTGCCATCCCATCCCTTATATAACCTGCCATCCCATCCCTTATATAACCTGCCATCCCATCCCTTATATAACCTGCCATCCCATCCCTTATATAACCTGCCATCCCATCCCTTATATAACCTGCCATCCCATCCCTTATATAACCTGCCATCCCATCCCTTATATAACCTGCCATCCCATCCCTTATATAACCTGTAAATTATTTATGATGTTACCACACTAATTTTGCGTTGGTAAATTCTCGTATACGTACAACTTTGTACTCAGAACGCATATATATTTTATACGTTCATGTGCATTTTATGCGTACATATATATTTTATATGTCCAGGTGTATATCATATGTTCATGTATATTTCATACATATATGTGTATTTAATACTCCCATGTGTGTTTTATATGTCCATTTGTAATTTACACGTTCATGTGTATTTTATACACGATTTGTTTGTATGTGAATTAATCTCGACTCCCAGTGGCTGGAGTGATATCAACTAACGACTACCATTTTACCCGACCGTGATATAAAGTTAAATATTTAAAATATTTATGGTATATCAAGTAAGAATTAAAACTTCATAATCTCCCCGGCTTGGTGCTTTCTTTTGATATCTCCATACCTACCTACTCGAATCTCTGACCTCACATATGAATGATATCAGCCCTCTAGTAAGCATGTAGCAAATTGTAATATTGTTAATCTATAATTACAATTAGATGGTTGAATCATAGGTGCTATTTTTACCCACAATTATACATTGCCTCGCTAAGCTGTTTGAAGTCTCGTGAAGCTCTTTGATGCCTCTCATATTTCCACCAAAAAACAACATGACACCTACGGATTTTTCGCCCGAGTTCCTCGCTTTGATGGTGTGATGTTTTCCATTAAAAGGTGAAGCGGATAAAAAGAATAAATTGCACACACGAAATTCACTTTTCTTTCATCAGTTAATAAATTATTTAATTTTGTGAAATGTCCTTGTCTGTTACATTAATAACCTATTGGCCTGATATGTAATATGGATAAGTATCCAATTTGTTTCTTGTATATCTGCGATTCAGATCTCTGGCCTGTATTTCCATGTTAAAAGTATTATTATATTAGATGTAATCTTTCAAGTTTGTAGCTTATTTTTGTGTATTTTTATTCAATTTTTTAATTTTTTGCATCAGTTACAAAAATGTATGAGAATATTTATTGTTATGAATCAATTCTCAGAAAATAATATATAAATTAGGAGAAAACTGAATGGAAAAGAACGAAGCTAATGACCAACACAAATATGAGCTATTAACTTGTTTTGGTGAATTTTAAAGTAACTTAAAAAAACAGACATATTAGAACACTTAATCTTAGTTAAGTAATTCATTAGGTAGAGGAGGTTATGATCTAAGGTCCAGGTTATCTTGAGGTTATCTTGAGATGATTTCGGAGCTTTTCAGTGTCCCCTTGTTGAGTTGTTGTTGGCCCTAGGTTGACTCCTAACCAAGTAACGTAAGAGTATTAACAGGGAAAACCATAAATCAATACACACACATATATATATATATATATATATATATATGTGTGTGTGTGTGTGGTGGAAGAAAGGGAGAGAGAGAGAGAGAGAGAGAGAGAGAGAGAGAGAGAGAGAGAGAGAGAGAGAGAGAGAGAGAGAGAGAGAGAGAGAGAGAGAGAGAGAGGGAGGAGGAAGTGAATATAAGACCTGTTCATCTTAGCCAGACGTGTGCTCCTAGTAGGTCCTTTACATATACCAGTTCTTAGGAAGACGTGTTCTTGTAGCGGGGTTTCCTAGCAACGTGTTACCTTATGGAGCTGCTCTTGTAGTGATAACTTATCACGCTGGCTCCTGGGAGGCGGTGTTCGTGTATCAACGGGTTAGCGAGATGGGTTTTCGCGTCTGATGTACATATATCGAGAACGTAGCGAAGTGAACACAGCGAAATGGGTCTTAGTGAACGTGTGATTTTAGTGATTTCCGTGGAAGTCTGCGCCACTTTCACGTGACTTAGCCTGATGGTGCACGGCCATGTTGGAAGCAGTTTGGAGTAGCGAGCGAGCGTAGCCACGCTTAAAGAGTGCGGTCTGATGCAGTGTATCAGCGAAGGCAACGTCATTAAAGTGAGCATCTGGGAGCAAATGGCCGCAGTAGCCACCAAGCCTCTGGTCGGAGCAGCTCAGGTTTAATTAAAGTAGGAGAGTAACCTCCAGTGTTGACTGTGAAAACAACACCCCGAGTGAATGCGATCAGCGTGGAGGTGGTCCTCCGACTCCCAGAGTGCGTGGAGGTGGTCCTCGGACTGCCAGAGTGCGTGGAGGTGGTCCTCGGACTGCCAGAGTGCGTGGAGGTGGTCCTCGGACTGCCAGAGTGCGTGGAGGTGGTCCTCGGACTGCCAGAGTGCGTGGAGGTGGTCCTCCGACTGCCAGAGTGCGTGGAGGTGGTCCTCCGACTGCCAGAGTGCGTGGAGGTGGTCCTACGACTGCCAGAGTGCGTCGAGGTGGTCCTCCGACAGCGAGAGAGCGTCTAGGTGGCCCACGGACTACCAGACAGCGTCTAGGTGGCCCACGGACTACCAGACAGCGTCTAGGTGGCCCACGGACTACCAGACAGCGTCTAGGTGGCCCACGGACTACCAGACATCATCTAGGTGGCCCACGGACTACCAGACATCATCTAGGGGGCCCACGGACTACCAGACAATATCTAGGTGGCCCACGGACTACCAGACAACATCTAGGTGGCCCACGGACTACCAGACATCATCTAGGTGGCCCATGGACTACCAGACAACATCTAGGGGGCCCACGGACTACCAGTCAACATCTAGGGGGCCCACGGGCTACCAGACAACATCTAGGGGACCCACGGACTACCAGTCAACATCTAGGGGGCCCACGGACTACCAGACAACATCTAGGGGGCCCACGGACTACCAGACAACATCTAGGAGGCCCCACGGACTACCAGACAACATCTAGGGGGCCCACGGACTACCAGACAACATCTAGGGGGCCCACGGACTATCAGACAGCGTCTAGGTGGCCCTCGGACTACCAGACAACATCTAGGGGGCCCACGGACTATCAGACAGCGTCTAGGTGGCCCTCGGACTACCAGACAACATCTAGGGGGCCCACGGACTACCAGACAATATCTAGGGGGCCCTCGGACTACCAGACAACATCTAGGGGGCCCACGGACTACCAGACATCATCTAGGGGGCCCACGGACTACCAGACAACATCTAGGGGGCCCACGGACTACCAGACAACATCTAGGGGGCCCTCGGACTACCAGACAACATCTAGGGGGCCCACGGACTACCAGACATCATCTAGGTGGCTCACGGACTACCAGACAACATCTAGGGGGCCCACGGACTACCAGACAACATCTAGGTAGCCCACGGACTACCAGACAACATCTAGGTGGCCCTCGGACTACCAGACAGCGTCTAGGTGGCCCACGGACTACCAGACAGCGTCTAGGTGGCCCACGGACTTCCAGACAACATCTAGGGGACCCACGGACTACCAGACAACATCTAGGTGGCCCACGGACTTCCAGACAACATCTAGGGGGCCCACGGACTATTAGACAGCGTCTAGGTGGCCCACGGACTACAGACAACATCTAGGGGGCCCACGGACTACCAGACAACATCTAGGGGGCCCACGGACTACCAGACAACATCTAGTGGGCCCACGGACTACCAGATTGCAGAGTGGACAACGCTAGGAGGTCGTAGTCCTATGGGCACGGGTTCGATCCCCGGCGGAGGCGGAAACAAATGTGGAGAGTTTGTTTCACCCTGAAGCCCCTGTTACCTAGCAGTAAATATGTTCCTGGGAGTTAGACAGTTCCTACGGGCTGCTTCCTGGGTGTGTACTCACCTATTTGTGCTTGTGGGGGTTAAGCTTTGGGTCTTTGATCCCGCCTCTCAACTGTCAGTCAACTGTGTGTGTGTGTGTGTGTGTGTGTGTGTGTGTGTGTGTGTGTGTGTGTGTGTGTGTACTCACCTAGTTGTATTCACCTAGTTGTGTTTGCGGGGGTTGAGCTCTGGCTCTTTGGTCCCGCCTCTCAACCGTCAATCAACAGGTGTACAGATTCCTGAGCCTATTGGGCTCTATCATATCTACACTTGAAACTGTGTATGGAGTCAGCCTCCACCACATCACTTCCTAATGCATTCCATTTGTCAACCACTCTGACACTAAAAAAGTTCTTTCTAATATCTCTGTGGCTCATTTGGGCACTCAGTTTCCACCTGTGTCCCCTTGTGCGTGTTCCCCTTGTGTTAAATAGACTGTCTTTATCTACCCTATCATTTCCCTTCAGAATCTTGAATGTGGTGATCATGTCCCCCCTAACTCTTCTGTCTTCCAGCGAAGTGACGTTTAATTCCCGTAGTCTCTCCTCGTAGCTCATACCTCTCAGCTCGGGTACTAGTCTGGTGGCAAATCTTTGAACCTTTTCCAGTTTAGTCTTATGCTTGACTAGATATGGACTCCATGCTGGGGCTGCATACTCCAGGATTGGCCTGACATATGTGGTATACAATGATGCAATGATGTGTGTGTGTGTGTGTGTGTGTGTGTGTGTGTGTGTGTGTGGTGTGTGTGTGTGTGTGTGTGTGTGTGTGTGTGTGTGTGTGTGTGTGTGTCTGTGTGTGTGTGTGAAAAAAGTGGATTGATTTACAGTTGAGAGGCGAGCCGAATGAGTCAGAGCTCAACCCCAACAAGCACAAATAGGTGAACTAGGTGAATACACACACACACACACACACACACACACACACACACACACACACACACACACACACACACACACACACACACACACACACCACAACACACACACACACACACACACACAGGCTGGTACAATCCTACACTGTGCCTTACACGCCTTTCACCAGCCAGTCTAACGCTCCGAGCTAGAATAATCGCTAAGAATTTACCGCGTTAAGGAACTTTTCATAAGCTTTCGGGATATTGTTTCGTAAATCACCGTTGCCAAGCTGACTTAGCACCCGAGATGTATTCTGCGTCTCGCGGGGATCGAGAGAAGACAGATTACTCTGACTTGATAAGGCTGCCTCGTTTCTCAACGTCTTAGATCGGAAGCTTTCCCCAAGTCCCTTCGTGAGAGCTTTCCTGTTATGATAGCCACGATCATTCGTGCGGGGAGAATTCTTCATACGATAGCAGCGGGAGCCAACACATGACTCTCTTTGCTGTGTGTGGTGGTGGTGGTGATGGTGTGGTGGTTGGTGTTGTGGTGGTGGTGGTGGTGTGGTGGTGGTGGTGTGGTGGTGGTGGTGATGGTGTGGTGGTGGTGTGGTGGTGGTGTGATGGTAGTGGTGTGGTGGTGGTGGTGGTGTGGTGATGGTGTGATGGTGGTGTGGTGGTGGTGTGATGGTAGTGGTGTGGTGGTGGTGGTGGTGGTGTGGTGGTAGTGGTGTGGTGGTGGTGGTGGTGGTGATAGTGATGGAGGTGGCGGTGGTAGTGGTGATGATGGTGTTCTTGGTGGTGGTGTTGGTGGTGGTGGTCAGTGTTACTGGTGGTGTTGCTAGTTTAGTGAAGGGGTGTCTCTGGAGTGGTGGTTGGCGTCGTTAGTGACGATATACTAGTCCTCGTATTTAGTCATGAGTGAGTTGGTTATCTCACTGATGGAAGCCTTAATGGCTTGGCAATATTGATGCAAACCTCACTCGTAGCGGTGTTAATAGCCGGGGTGGGGGTAGCCCTTCCATTTGCAATGATTGTAGTAGTGCTAGTAGTACTAGTAGTACTAGTAGTAGTAATAGTTTGTTGTTGTTGTTAGTGGTAATTATTTTAATACATTGTGTTCCTAACACTGTTTTGATAAATTATTTGAAAAATACAAAGTCAAAAAAGTTTGATATGAGTTCTAATACATACACAATACTACAGCATAAAAAACAAACAATATACCGCAAAGATAATTATAGAATCATAGTCAGCATTGTCAAAAAAAAAAAAAATACAATTCCTACCACCCCGGGAAGATGAATACAAGTTAAAAAAAATGTAATTAGAGATAAATAGTATTTTTTCATCACACAATCTTGTATACAAGATGCTTATTTACATGAATATTTTGTGATTTTTTTTTCATAGTATGTTTCATCATATGTTTATTTAAAGCTGTATTTCAAGTAGGTTTCTAAATACATATGATTTTATGCCTGTAAATACACTATATATATATATATATATATATATATATATATATATATATATATATATATATATATATATATATATATATATATATATATACATAGTTTCGGTTGGTGGTTGACCAAAATCACTCGTTCAAGCCCTCAGTACAACACATTATGATCGTCAGACACTGCTCCATTAACAGTGAAACGCCCCTGAAGATCACTCCCCCCCCCTACTAACAGTGAGACGCCCTGAAGATCACACCCCACTAACAGTGAGACGCCCCTAAAGATCACACCCCACTAACAGTGAGACGCCCCTGAAGATCACACCCTCCATTAACAGTGAGATGCCCCTGAAGATCACACCCCTATTTACAGTGAGACGCCCCTGAAGATCACACCCTCCATTAACAGTGAGATGCCCCTGAAGATCACACCCCCATTAACAGTGAAACGCCCCTGAAGATCACACCCTCCATTAACAGTGAGACGCCCCTGAAGATCATCCACCCCCATTAACAGTGTGACGCCCCTGAAGATCACACCCCCATTAACAGTGAGACGCCCCTGAAGATCACACACCTCCATTAACAGTGAGACGCCACTGAAGATCACACCCCCATTAACAGTGAGACGCCCCTGAAGAACACACCCTCCATTAACAGTGAGACGCCCCTGAAGATCACACCCCCCCATTAACAGTGAGACACCCCTGAAGATCACACCCCACCCCCCCATTAACAGTGAGACGCCCCTGAAGATCACACCCCCATTAACAGTGAGACGCCCCTGAAGATCACACCCCCATTAACAGTGAGACGCCCCTGATGATCACCCCCCCATTAACAGTGAGACGCTCCTGAAGATCACACCCCCCCATTAACAGTGAAACGCCCCTGAAGATCACACCCCCATTAACAGTGAGACGCCCCGGAAGATCACACCCTCCATTAACAGTGAGACCCCCCCTGAAGATCACCCCCTTAACAGTGAGACCCCCCTGAAGATCACCCCCCATTAACAGTGAGACGCCCCTGAAGATCACACCCCCCATTAACAGTGAGACGCCCCTGAAGATCACACCCCCTTAACAGTGAGACGCCCCTGAAGATCACCCCCCATTAACAGTGAGACCCCCCTGAAGATCACCCCCTCCATTAACAGTGAGACCCCCCTGAAGATCACACCCTCCATTAACAGTGAGACGCCTCTGAAGATCACCCCCCCCCATTAACAGTGAGACGCCCCTGAAGATCACCCCCCCATTAACAGTGAGACGCCCCTGAAGATCACACCCTCCATTAACAGTGAGACGCCCCTGAAGATCACACCCCCATTAACAGTGAGACGCCCCTGAAGATCACACCCCACTAACAGTGAGACGCCCCTGAAGATCACACACCGCCCCATTAACAGTGAGACGCCCCTGAAGATCACACACCCCATTAACAATGAGACGCCCCTGAAGATCACACCTCCCCATTAACAGTGAGACGCCCCTGAAGATCACACCCCCATTACAGTGAGACGCCCCTGAAGATCACACCCCCCATTAACAGTGAGATGCCCAGAAGATCACCCCCATTAACAGTGAGACGCCCCTGAAGATCACACCCCACTAACAGTGAGACGCCCCTGAAGATCACACACCTCCCCATTAACAGTGAGACGCCCCTGAAGATCACACACCCCATTAACAGTGAGACGCCCCTGAAGATCACACCTCCCCATTAACAGTGAGACGCCCCTGAAGATCACACCCCCATTAACAGTGAGACGCCCCTGAAGATCACACCCCCATTAACAGTGAGATGCCCCTGAAGATCACCCCCATTAACAGTGAAACACCCCTGAAGATCACACCCCCATTAACAGTGACACGCCCCGGAAGATCACACCCATTAACAGTGACACGCCCCTGAAGATCACACCCATTAACAGTGACACGCCCCTGAAGATCATACCCATTAACAGTGACACGCCCCTGAAGATCACCCGCTCTCATTATAAGCTCTTGAAGCGGGGCGTTATTGTAATAACCTTCCATATCGACTTACTAATGAGAGAATTAACCTGCAATTCCTTTGGTCCGGAACTTTATAATTGTCTCAACTGTAGACCATAATTACCAACTTTCTGGGAGAAGTTGACCAACTTTGTCGCTGTCTTCGTGGCTGTTACGGTAATTAGTGAGTGTGTACATCCTCCC